TGCACCAGTGGGCTGGGTCGGATACTGGCGGAAGGTGTTTCTGAACTTTGCCAAGCTCTTGTCCGCGACGATGTGCGCCATGGCAGTTTACAGAGTCCTCATGACCACCGGCTTCGAGCAATGGAGTCACACACTCCACGCCATGGAGGCTTTCTCCTTCTTGGCACTTCTCATGACAGTGAGCAGCTCCGACGGTTTTCGGGAGCTAATGACCGAGAGGCTTCCGGAAGTGCAGGAGAGACTCGACTCGGCGATGCGGGCTTCCCTGAAGTGGGACCTGCTGCCCGTTTCTGCATGTTTCTGCGTGTGGCTGGTGTGCTTTATTGTGAGGATCCGTCTCTGCATCCTTGAGGGCAGCGAGATCTTTGCTCATGCTTTTCCCCTCAGTTCGGCTGTCCAGCGGACTGCATGGGCGTTTGCTTTGCTGCGGCTCAGCCGCTCCATGATCGTTTTGATGGAGCGGTTCGCACTGTCGTATTCGCACAATCGAGACGACTTTGACCTCGCTTACGAGCAGTGGGCTTGCATTTCGGCGTTTACCAGCCAGATCTCCCATTGGACAGGTGTGGCCCATCTCCACATCTCGACTTTTGCACTTCTTGGCATGTTCCCGCCCTTCGCGGAGATATTTCTGGGTCGCACATATGACAAAAGCTGGTTGCTGTCGCACTTGTTTGCCAGCATGGCGAACTGCTGCCTAACAGCATACGTGCTACAGCGAGCTGCAGCCGTGAACCAGCAGAAGGAAAGTGCTGCTATGAGTGTCGGCAGTTTTCAGTGGGCACTGTCTTGGTCTGCGAAATGGCGCCAGCACCTCCTGCTAAAGTACATGAGCCAGAGTGCTGTTGGCATCTACATGTGTGGCGTTTGCCTGACAAACCCTATTCTGGCGAAGCTGGCGTCCGTCCTGGTCACTGGAGCATCCGTCCTCTTGGCTCGTCTCGTGAGCCTGCCGGAGGAGAAGAAGGACGAGCTGGCCGAGCAATGGGAGCATTTCCTCGAGGCCCTCAAGGTCTGAGGCAGCATACTCCTAAGACATCTTTTGCGCATTCGCAGCCTCGGCTGCTCGTTTTTTCAAGGGCTGCTGGTCTGGCCAGTGATTACGACAGAGAATGCCAAGTGCACAGGCCACAGCTCTTGGCGAGCACTGACTAGTTGGTGCACCAGAATCTTTTCCAAACCGGTTCGTTTGGCAGGAGTCGTTGCAATGAGGGTCCGGTGCTTTGAAAGACACCTTTGCCTTATTCTTACCCTGCCCCTTTGCAGCATTTGGGACCGCAATATCGTACACGATCTCGTGCAATTCCCATAAATACACACATGCACTCAAATGGACGAACTTGGCCGACCGGTCGTTGACTATCCATGGCAGCTTGCAGACACGCCGACTCCGTGCACAGTCGATGTAGCATAGATGAGGCCATGAGAGGAGTAACATTATTACATGAACTACTCTTGATGATTAGGCGCCGAAGTGAAGCAGCTCAGCAAGCATCCGGAATAGTAGTAGAACGTATGTTGGCAAGACTGGCAGCGCTGTAGCCGCAAAAGCTTCAGTTATATCAATGTCACCAGCGACGGCCTGCCATCGCAACAACAGCAATACACATAACAATAAACGCACCAGCGGAAGCAGCAGCAGAAGCAGAGAGTATCAGTCTCAGTGGTAGTACATATCGCAAACAGGATGGCAAAGAATGTAGTGCTTGAAGCGGCAGAAGCAGCAAGAGGAGGTGCAGAAAGAGCATTGGACACTGCGGAAGCACTAGCCCCGCAGGAGGGCGCTAGTAGTGGCAGTAGTTGTCGTAGTTGTAGTGGTGGTGGTCGCGGATGGTAGCGGTCGCGGTGAGGGTTTGCAGTCACGGTCGCGGTCGCGATCGCGGTCGTGTTGGTGGTTTTAGCGCTGGTCGTCTTCCTCGTTGTCGTGGTAGTCGTGGCAGCAGCAGGAAGGCAACAGCGAATGATTGCACCGAGCACCAGTTTTTCAACATAGCAGCCGGAAGGCAACAGCGATTGATTGCACTGAGCACCTTTCTTTTAACATAGCAAAGTTGCCGTGGTAGGGTAGTGCTATAGAACGGCTACACGCTCGATGCTAGTTGAAGTTCTCGAGCTATATGAAAACCAGCAAAACAGCGTGACAGCCCTACATGTGAGTGCATATTCATTTGTTTGACCAAGACCAAGATTCCCGGTCATGCAGCAATAGTACAACCAGTACAACAGTGCTTGTATGTCTAGCTATGCAGGTGAATTATACGACGCAGTTTGCAATGACAGTCGCAAGAGTAGTTCTTCTAGTCGTAGAAACGAAGGCTGGGTTACGAAGCACGAAGCATAGGCAAAACAGTAGCTCCGAAAGATTCACCATACTAGTAGGTCAATGCGGCGACACTTGCAGCAGTTGAAGCTGCAATACTGGTCACGGAGTGGATGTGTGCTTGGAGCCTTGAGCACAGCCGCTACGGCACTTCCGAGAAGGCCGTGAGCGGGAGCCAAGCTCCAATTGTGGGGGGAGCTATCCTCTTTGGCGGGTCGTGCTGCTAAAGCAGGCCCTATCTCTCATCGGCCCCGTCAGTTCCGGACATCACGATGTCACGTGACTTTTCCGCTGCAGAAGCGCTCATTTCGACAAGTCTGGTTGCTGGGAGGATCGTAGCATCCGTGCTGAATTCTACTGTTCGCTCGTTGGCCCTATGTTCAAGTGGGTGTGCTCCCAGACTTAGCAGGTGGGCTTTTACAGTACCAACGCACTGGCAGCAACCACCACTGATCTGCACCGTGAGCAACGGAGGGGATGCTGCTTGTTATGTAAGCGGCAAGTACGGTAGCGACAACGATGTGTAGGCCCATCCGGTTCATGGTGTCGCCGAAGCGGCGTTCTTGGCAGTATGATGCTGAGGCAACCTGCAAATAGCATCGTTGGACAGCTTCAGACAACTGTACGCTTCCCTGCTGATCCGAGCATATGTTCCGGATGCATAGTACTGTGGCGCAACATCAATTCTGTGCAAAGCCATGCGACTCATCCTGATGTTTGTCTTTGGGTGTGATGTAGCATACAGGTGTCGAGCAGGTCCAGGACCCCTTTAGGGGGCAATGCTGCAATGCTAGGCCCTAGGCACCATCAAGTGCTGCACATGTTGCCGTGGCATGCATCTTGAGCCAGCAGCTGTCATAGCGTGTTTGGGCTGCCGAGGTGCGAGAAGCTGTCTGACCGAAGCAGATTTGCGTATCTCCAGCACGAACTCATCCCTGAGAAGGACGTCAGGTTTTGAACTCTGCGGCAGGGTTGTCACGCTTCAGCTTTCGCCAGTACCGTCTAGGACTCCCGGATATTGGATCGCAGTTCCTTTGGTTCTGCTCTAAGGGTTCGGGATTTGTGCTTGGAAGAACAGCTAGTCATGCACGCACATTGCCATCCCTGCGTTTGAGCCGACTAGTGAGATGTCCGATCTTCCAAAATCTTCAACGAACGTGTCACAACCTACTCCTCGCGAGGATGCTCAGCTCCTGGAGTTGCTTTTCCGCAACCTTCCGGGCGTGCTGCCCACAGGCCTGCGGTGTTACCTGTTGGGATGTGGCAAGGTAGAAAGGATTCGGAAGGATTGGATGGCAAGGTAGGGACGAAAAGCCGCTTGAGGTGTGTCACTGAAGGATAGTCCGGAATCCACGCGGCTCTGCTAGTTTTGGCATCTTGTATAGCTTCAGGCTATCCTATATCTTTGTGGCCCCTGTGGTTGTGGTTGCGGCGGTTCGCAACTGTTACCCAGCTCGTCAGATGACGGCCATGCTGCGAATGATGCTGATTCTTCTGAGAACATGAAGATGTTGAGATACGATGAGGATGGTCATGATGCAGATATGAATCTGAGGATGTGAAGATCAACGTATGAGGATGGCTGCATCGACGACGAAGACGATACCGACATGACAAGGGTCAGCTTCTTTGGTTTTGCCCTCATTTTCGTTTGTTTGTGCTCTTGCCTCATGTAGTGTGCCTGGAACCGGCTGGTTGTTTCCTTCTTTGTCTGTCTGTTTCCATATTTCAGTGGTGAGGAGCGAAGTTTCTTATCATGCATTTTATTCCTGGTCATCATGTTATACTGCCACCTCGTTTCGTGTTGTATGCATCCATTGCAAGTCCGGCGTTTGACATCTCCGCTCTTGGTTTTTGAGTGTCCCCAGTGCTTTAGTCTTTAGTGCTCTCTTGCCTAGAACGTCTTACTGCCAATACTCTCCCATGTGCCTTCATATGCCTGTGTGTGTGTTGCTAGACTGGTGGCAAGTGCGAAAACCGCAGTCTTTGCTCACCTTCAGGCAGAAATTGTGAACACTTTGCACCTGCTACTCGTACTGTGAATGTCTTTCTAACCAGCCTGTGCACCTATTCCCAAACTCCGGACCCTGACCTGTGTTTTCGACATTTTTATCATGAATATTAGGGTGTTCTGCTGTTGTGTCATGCTGAGCCATACTTGCGCGCGTTGAAAAGCCTTCTGCTGTTCCTGGTTGTTTCGCCCTCACATCGCGCAGGGCCCGTCCGCGACTTGTTTCGCAGGTGGCCTCAGCTGCGTGGCTGCAGAGAAGCCTCTAATGCATTCCTTCGTCAATGCCGCATGAGGCAACAGTCATGCACTGCAGCAGCGCAGGGCAATGAAAACATAATGAGACAAGCACACGATTCTTTGTAGACGGTTCCAAATAAGTTCAGATACATAAAAAAAGTTGTCAGCATTATTAAAGTCTGGCGAAAAAGCAAAGCGTCAAGAAGCAACAACACCACAGACCCACACGACAACACGCTTGGGCCTGTAGTCAAAAGACCCAAAACAAATCCACCAAACGCAAGCTACACACACGCCACACAACACAACGAGAGCTAGAAAAGATGGATATCTCCGCGATGGGTGTCGCCTTTGTACAGCTGCAGCAGGCCTGCAGATTAACACCCATTGTGGAGGCTTTGTGCATGAGGTCAGCCTAGCAGGTGAAATCGCAGATCCGATGCTCTGAGCTCTGTCGAAGAGCTCCATCCAGGCACCAAACCAACCAACAAGCCACATCAAGCCAACACCAAAGACAGCAAACAACACGGGCCTCTGTCCGAAACTGCCTCCAACATAGGGCCACAAAAAGCAGCCTTTCCACGGCTTTACTTGTTCGTGTGCTCGAGCTACATGTATGTCGACCTTTTAACACAGAAAGACTATATGCATATGATTATATGGTTGTATGTAAGTGTTCACAGTAGCCTTCTACATGTATACAGCAAAGTTGGAGAAAGTATGATCCTCGGGAGCTCGGTATGGAGAATGCATCTCGTATGTAGCTTGTGTCCCTAATTCCATACTCCAGAACTGCTCCAGCTGCACGCATATATCAGTGCGTGTGCATTTTTGTACGTGTTCCTGATAAATAGGCAGCGTGAATACAGTAAGTGCCAGAAAGTTGGACAACGAATTGTCCCCACAAGTTTTTTCAGCTGGCAAGGGCGGGAATCCCAGTACTAATCCTCCTTATGCCAGGCTCTACCCTCTGGGAGCTTCCTGTGCTTCTGTGATTTTTTACGCATAAGCATGTAGTTTTGTTTAAAGTATGTGCAAACGATTGTAAACATGAGCAGTATTCTCCAAGCATGCATCGTGAGTCAGTATACCTGCGTGTGATGCTAGCTATAATTCTCTACACAGGCAGCTTACACTCGTTTAGTCGGCCTATTCAGTACATGTTACGAAATACGAAACATTGTCATCCAATGAATCGTCCAGACTAGCTGCTGTAATGGTTTTTGTGGTTATTGTGGCAGACTCGTTTCTCGTGTGTAGGACACGTAAACTGACCCATGATCAGCGTGTGCCCCCCTCTGTCTTACTCGTCATCATCGTCGTTTTTCGTAGTCACAGCCGCAGTCGTAGTCGTAGTTGTCGCAGTAGTGGTTGTGATAGTGGTGGTCGTGGTGGTGGTTGTGGTGGTTGCGGTGGTACTATCAGTGATAGTCTGATGGTGCTAGTGGCCGTGGTAGTGGTGGCAGGAGTAGGAGTAGTAGGAGTAGTAGGAGTAGTAGGAGTAGTAGGAGTAGTAGGAGTAGTAGGAGTAGCAGGAGTAGCAGGAGTGTCGGAGTAGTAGGAGTAGTAGGAGTGTAGGAGTAGTAGGAGTAGTAGGAGTAGTAGGAGTAGTAGGAGCAGTAGGAGCAGAAAGGAGTAGTAGGAGTAGTAGGAGTAGTAGGAGTAGTAGGAGTAGTAGTAGTAGTAGGAGGAGGAGGAGGAGGAATAGTAGTAGTAGTAGTAGTAGTAGTAGTAGTAGTAGTAGTAGTAGTAGTAGTAGTAGTGGTAGTGGTAGTGGTAGTCGTAGTAGTAGTAGTAGTAGTAGTAGTAGTTGTAGTTGTAGTTGTAGTTGTAGTAGTAGTAGTAGTAGCAGCAGCAGCAGCAGCAGTAGTAGTAGTAGTAGTAGTTAGCGTGGTAGGAGTGTTAGGAGCAAGAGCAGGAGTAGGTGTAAGGGGAGTGGCAGTAGCAGTAGCGGCAGCAGCAGCAGCGGCAGCAGCAGCAGCAGCAGCAGCAGCCGAAGCAGCAGCAGAAGCAGCAGCAGCAGCAGCAGCAGCAGCAGCCGAAGCAGCAGCAGCAGCAGCAGCAGCAGCAGCCGCCGCCCCAGCCCGAAAGCCCTTCAAAGCCCGGGACCGTGCAGACGTAAAGAAAGCACGAACACGTGATTCGGATTTCTTGAGCTAAGGAAGCTGGCGCCCGCCAGGGCCCAAATCTGTATGCGATGTGTAACGACTGCTGCAAGCAGCAGGCCCGCTCTGGCAGTGAAGCAGATTGTTCGGATGATTTGAATTTTCGTTTCAGATGCAGCTGCGAAACTTGTGAGCATGCAAACACCAAAGCCTGGTTGGTTCCGCGCACTGAGGCGCCTGCGTCTCTGCTGGTGGCTGGTGCTGGCGTCGGTGCTCCCAGCCTCCAACGTGCCGCAGCAGGTTTAGGATAACACAGTAAGTCCGCCTGGGTCATTTGCTAACTGCTCGTCTGTTTATTGGCCGGTTACCCCGCACATTATTAAGCTTTTCGCGCGTGTGTGCGGGAATGTGCGTTCAGGGTCATGAAAGAAGACCGTGCTCCGAACACCCCCAGTTTTCTTGGAACGTGGCCTAGAGTAAAGACCACAAGAATTTTTCGCAAGCCGTGACGCAGCGACTTGGGTCCAGCGCCGACGCAACAGGGGCGATATTCTGCCGCAGTCCCAGGCCTTTTTTTTCTCTTCCCTGTTTGCCACCTCTTGCTGGGAGCCAGCCGTTTTTTCCTATGGGACAAGATTTAATGATGTAAATATTGGGCCAAAGAAAACGGTTTCAGAAAACGTGTGGGAAGAAGGACAACGAAGGTACAACAAGGTCAGACGAAACACAAGAGTCAAGGGCAAAAGAGGCAATTTGCAACCGAGCAACAGCAGCAAGACAAGCAAGACGGGGAAATGCACGTCCTTCAGTCCTTGCACCTTGTATTCGCCGTTGCGTCGGCCACTTGCCTTGTGTTAACCTTTTAGCTTCTGCCCTTTATTTACCGCGCATTCTCTTCCAGAAACCACTAGGTCGGAATATCAGAATCCAGGAATCAAGCTGACTCAGACGGTGGCTTCTCCCACCATCATTTCATCACGGCAACATCTTTTGGTGGCCACGGAGCTGAGTCCTCTGTCGAGGCATCAGCTTAAGCCGCATGTCGAAATTGGAGGAAATCCTCCAGACGCAGAAGATCACTGCAGGCCCAAGCCTTGCCCAAGCCCTACGCCCTACAACCCTTCAAGGCGAGGACCCCTTTGCGACGGCCCGGCCTCGAAGCTCCACAGCTCTGCGGCTGCAGGGAGGGCAGGGAGGGGGAGGCTGCCAAAGGTGAGGCGGTGTCTTCGTTGCTGACACTCCGAGCCAGAATCGGCATGGCCTTTGTGAAAGAACGTAGGACCTTAAGCAGGATACCGGATACCCTGAACGACCCAAATCCCGCAGTCTGCCCCTGTCGCATTTGAACCGTTGTTTCGGTTGGAAGTTCGGAGGATCGAGCGGAGTCGGGAAGTGATGGGTGTGCGAGGGAATTGGGAATGTTCATCTGCCGGCGACAGCTTCGGAAACCGCGTCGGACTGGTACTGGCTGCGAGGGCGCCAGTGGTCAGTTCTCAAGTTTCTGGCAGACGTCTTGTGTTCGACATCCTGGGGCGTATCCTGAACTCCATATCAACTCCATTCAACTCCGATAACCTTAAGACATGATTGAAGCTTTGGGAGTTGTGGGATAAGGTTCGGGCTCAGCTTGCGGCTGTGGGCTACAATTGGTGAATGCACGTTTCCATATCCTGCCAAGCCACAACGTGCAAGAGCTGGCTTCTTTCCTGGTTCGCGTAGTTTCGAGTCGTTTATCAATCGCCTGTATTGTGGCTGCAGTCTCAGATTGCAAGGTGGTTTCTTTGCCTATCGGGCCGCATGCGGCTGAAGATGCTGCCGGACGAGAGGCCCAAATCAAAGTTATTTTGTCAGAACGTTCCACATCAGGGCAACTTCCTCCAGGCCACGTGTGCAGTCGGACAAATACTACCTCCCTTGGCAAACACGAACCAGATCGCTGTAGGATCCCACGTGGAACGAGAGTCTCAAGCAAGGGCAGTGCAGATGAAACGTTTTAATCCTAGAGTTCCGTGATTCGACCGCTGAGGCATGGGAATCGCCCACTACAGTCCATAGTGTTCCGTATCATGGTGCGCCCATTCCTTCCGAATGAAATACTGGGGACAGCATATCCACTCCATCCGGGTCACGTTTCCGGCTTATGTCAAGAACAAGATTTTCGCAGGGTAGCGGAAGAGGTCCCCGTGTTTGCTCCACTCCAAAACCAGTGCGGCCTTTGCATTTTGAAGGGAAGAGGCTTGACCAGGCTGTGCTGAAATATAAAATGGTTGCAGCAGGCTCTCCGCAAACTCGCTCGCCTCGAAGTTCCATTTTCCAGCCTTAAACCAATCCATTGCAGGCACTGAGCCAACCAAACTGTTCACTACTGCCACTTCTGCTGCCTTCCTTCCCGACGCTTAGACCAATCCAGCCCGCTGTCGTAGTTTAGGCACGGCACTGGGCCGAAGGTGCTCAGGCTGAAGCCCTGAACCTTGAACCTTCTAGCCCTGACCCCACCGACACATACAACCCCTGCATAAAAAACAGACTCGAGCGCTCTCCGTTGTGGAGCTCCGGGGAGGTGCGAAGGTGGCCGCCTTGCGCCCCTGGCGCCGCAACGCGAGCCTTTTGGCCTCCTGGACGAGGCCCAGATTGTACTATGCTCCAGGACCTGCGCCATTCACGCTCACTGCTGTTCCAGATCGCTACCTTATCGTCGTTTGTCGTCCCTGGCGTTTACATATGTTGCTGCCCTCGTGTCGTGTCCAGGGGTGGCTGCTTTGCAGAAAACTTACTTCAGGCTTGCAGTTTGATGGGTTTTTCTGCTAGGACACTGACTTTTTTGCTTGGTGTTTTCGGTGCTTATGTGGTTGTTCTCACAGGATGGCAGCATGTAAGACTGGCAACATCGGACAAGATTAGACACCATTCGGGATTGCTGGTTGTCGTGCTTCGGCCTCAGTGTATGCATGCATTTCATGCGTTCGGCAACGCGGCAGCGTGAGAGTTTGTGATTCGGCCACGACTTCAACCAGAACTTGGATCGCATCCTCAACTACCTGTCAGCATGCAGAGCTTGACCTTCAAGCGCATCCAAGTTGGAGTTGGATGATCCAACTACAACTACCTCGCAGTGTGTAGAGTCAGACGTTTGACTTCAATTTTAACTAGAGCATCCAAAAATCCAGCAGCGTACAGATTTGACGTTTGGTTACAACGTCACCCAGAACTTGAAGCGCATCCACCTACCTGTCAATGTGCAGAGTTTGACGTTTGGCTACACTTCGACCAGAGCTAGGAGGGCATCCCCCTGCCCAGCAGCCTGCGGAGATTGATGTTTGGCTTCAACATCAACTAGAGCTTGGAGGGCATCCAACTGCACAGCAGTTTGCAGCAGTCTTCAATCTTCGGTGGACCGGCTCGGTTTTGGGGTGCCTGTGAGTTTCCAGCCGAGGCCGTGTAAAATGAAGATGCCTGTCAAACTTTCCTAAAGATCTTCAACTTGCTTTAAAGAAGACGTTTCAACTGGCTTGAAGCGGCTTGATCCGAACTGACTTGAGAATGTATGATGGTATCGATCGAAGGCAGAGGCATTCGTATTGCAACCGATCGCACGGCGGAGGATTCGCATGGTTTGTGCGAGCGATGTTTTGAAGAGGATGGTCTGTCATTGGGCGGGACCATATGTATGTGTGTATATATATATATATATAATACATATTTGTGTTGACACAAAAACTAACACACACACACACACACACACACACACACACACACACACACACACACACACACACACACACACACACACACACACACACACACACACACACACACACACACACACACACACACACACACACACACACACACACACACACACACACACACACACACACACACACACACACACACACACACACACACACACACACACACACACACACACACACACACACACACACACACACACACACACACACAGGGACAGCCGCACAGACAGACACGCAGACAGACATGCAGACACACACGCACACACAGACAGACACACGGACACACAGAGACACACAGAGACACACAGAGACACACAGAGACACACAGAGAGACACCGAGACACACACACACACACCGAGATATACACGGACACACAGGGACAGCCAGCCACCCCACCCAGCCACCCACGCCGCCACCCACCCACCGACCGACCGACCCACCTAGCCCCCGGAAACCCGTCTGGTAACCTGTCTGCATACCTGCCCGTGTGCCTACCTGCCTACCTGCATGCCTCCTGCTTACCTGCCTGCCTGCCTTCGCCTGCCTCCCTGCTTGACTGGCCTATCTAACCTTTCTACTTCTGTTCTAAATCCATGCATAGATCTATGTCTTCATGTCGTCAATACTATCTGACTATCTACTTATCTGTAGAGCGCATGCTGCCAGTTGAGGGAGCCATTGACCCCATCGTTGTTGCAGCTTTTTGTGGCCGTTCGGGCAGGCTGGGAAGCCGCTCTTCACGATCTGCGAGCACAGCGTCAGCGAGGCGTGACAAGAAAATAGGGGAAGTTCAACTGCGACCCTCAGAATCGGGTTCTGTACGTCATGGTCACCATAGTCACTTGTTTCCTATCCTCCGCTTGTTATTACTCCACCCAAGACTTCAAGCCTTAACCGCTCGAATCTTTAAATCCAGAACAATCCATAGCGGAAGGAACCCTCACAACACCAGTCCAAGGAGTTCATACTCTGCCAACGTGCCCGCCGTGAGGTGGATCTCTTTGCGGCTGAGCGCCACGAGCCCTGGTGGTGGCCTCGGGCAGTTCTGTCCGCAGGCGACAACCTGCATCTTGCCGTGCGGGCGACGCGGCGTAGATGGGCTATATGTAGAGTGTTGCACAGGGAAGTGTTGCCGTGTGTATCGGGTCGAGCAGAAAGCCCTGTAAACTTGCGTAACCCTTTGATCCAGCCCCTCTTGCACTTTTGACCACCTTCCCATTCCGAAGCAAAGATGCTGAAACGGTTTCGGGTTTAGGGTTTACGGTTCGAAATGTCGGAAGCCATAGCAGAAGGCAGCTTGATCCCTTCGCCCTAAGCAGTGTGCCCAGTTCTGCAGCAGATCTCGACTCTTTCGGTCCCTTCCTCAGGGAGACTAAGGGCAGGGAAGGCTTCTGTTGGCACGATTTTTCTAAGGTTCAGGGCCTCAGTCATTTCGGAGTTGAGGAATGTATCAGTATCAGGCCATTGGAGACTTTCACTGTCATCTCATGTTGGTGTTAGGGTATAGAGCCTAGAGTCGAAGAAACGGCCCCGCCATGGATCAGCCAGTCAGGTCCAGATCTTCATCGCTTTCCAGAGGCCCTGTTGGGCAGCTTCTTCGACAAGAGTTAGTGCAACAGCCACCGTGGTCCGAAAAGCACAAGCTTCCAACTAACTTGGGACATCTGTGGAACTGAGCTCTAGCCCCGAGCCCAAAACCTCCGAAGCAGCTTCCGCCTTCGGATCAGGCGGCCAATCTCCCAAAAGCTTTGGAGGCCCCTGTTCTTGTTCGTAGTGTTATCACCATCACCATCACAAACAAAGCCATCGTCAGCATCGTCAGTGTCATGGTCATCATGACGATGGCTCTGCCCCCAGCCCCTGTTCCTGCCCTTCCCTACCGCTACTGCAGAGCTACGGCTACTGCTTTTACTGCTATTACTGTACTACTGTTACTACTGGTACTACTAACTACTACTTCTACTGCTGCTCCTACGACTACTGCTGCTACTAGTAGCAGTAGTAGTAGTAGTAGTAGTAGTAGTAGTAGTAGTAGTAGTAGTAGTAGTAGTAGTAGTAGTAGTGGTAGTACTAGTGGTGGTAGTAGTAGTAGTAGCAGCAGTCGCATGAGTAGAAGCAGTAGTAGTAGTAGTAGAAGCAGTAGCAGTAGCACTGACTTCTAACCACTGACTACTAACTACTCCTTCTTCTACTGCTACTACTACTACTACTACCACTACTACTACTGCACCTGCTACTACCACAACTACCACTACCACTACCACTACCGCTACCACTACCACTACCACTACCACTACCACTACCACTACCACTACTACTAGAACTATTACAGCTACTACAACTACCACTACCGCTACCTCCACCGCTACCGCGACCGCTACCGCTACTACTACCACCACCACGACCACGATCACGACCACGATCACGACCACGACCACGGCACTAACTACCGGTGCTGCTACTACTACTAGTACTACTACTGCTACTGCCACTGCTCTGATACTGCTACTGCTACTGCTTCTACTACTACTACTACTACTACTACTGCTTCTACTCATGCGACTGCTGCTACTGCTTCTACTACTACTACTACTACCACTACCACTACCACTACTACTACTACTACTACTACTACTACTACTCATGCTGCTACTACTACTACTACTACTACTACTCATGCTGCTACTACTACTACTACTACCACTACTACTACTACTTCTAGTTCTACTTCTCCTACTTCTACTGCTACTGCTGCTGCTGCTGCTGCTGCTACTGCTGCACTACTGCTCCTCCTCCCGCTCCCGCTCCCGCTCCCGCTCCTGCTCCTGCTCCTGCTCCTGCTGCTGCTCCTGCTGTTGCCACTGCTACAGCTCCTGCTCCTGCTGCTGCTCCTGCTGCTGCTACTGCTACAGCTTCTGCTTCTGCTATCGCTATCGCTACTGCCACTGCCGCTGCCGCTGCCGCTGCCGCTGCCACTGCCACTGCCACTGCCACTGCTACTGCTACTGCTACTGCTACGGGCGGGGCCTTTTTCATACACCGACAGGATCCTCATGCTTTTGCCTGGGTCTTTTGCGCCTTCAGATCGTCAGGGCTTGGGGTCTAGGGTAGACGGAAGAAAACAAACTTACGGAGGCAAAAAACAACCTAACCGGCCATACAGGGTTTTGTTGACGCTCTGGGTTCGGAGGCTTAAGGCCGAAGGAACAAACCAATTTTCACGGAGGCAAAAGACAAGCTACTCGGCAGTACAAGGTTTTTCGCGCCTTGGGCTTGGGGGTTTGAAGCTGAAGGAACAAAAGAATAAAGAGACATAGAACAGAGAGACAAAGAGACGGCTCGAAAACGACTAGAAATTTTGACAACGCGAGGAGCAAACCGCTCGAGAAGGAGTCGAACACTCGAGGACACAGCAAACCGCTCGAAAGAGACCAGAGCATTTGAGAACAAGGAGCAAAATGCTCGAAAGAGACTAGAGAATGTGAGAGCAAGGAGCAAGCCGCTCGCAAAAACATTGGCGAATTTGAGAACAGGGAGCAAACCGCTCGAAACAAAATAGAGAACTTGAGGAGCAAACCGCTCGAAAGGAGACTAGAGAATTTGAGAACAAGGTGCGCACCGCTCGAAAAGGAGTAGAACTTCAGAAAGCACCAGGAGGGAACCGCTCCGAAAATTTAAGAAACAAGGAGCAGACCGCTCGAAAGGGACTAGGTGAGCTCAGAACCAGGAGCCAACCGCTCGGAGAACAAAAAGCAAACCGCTCGAAGGGGATTAGAAATTTTGGGAACACAAGCAGCAAACCATTCGAAAGAGACTACAAAATTTGAGCAAGATGAGCCAACCGCTCGAACACGACGAAAGAATCTGAGAACAAGAAGCAAACCGCTCGAAAGAAACTGTAGGGTCTGAAAACGAGGAGCAATCCGCTCGAAAGAGACTAGAGAATTTTGAAAGAAACAATTAGTGCAAACAAAGAGCAAACGGCTCGTGAGATTTCGAGTCAAAGAAGCAAACCGCTCGAAAGGGACAGAAAACGGAACAAACCTTTCGAAAGAGACTAGAGAACTGGAGAACAGGGAGCAAACCATGCGAAAGCAATTGGGGGGTTTGAGCAAGAGGAGCAAACCGCTCGAACGGGACTAGGAAATTTGAGAACAAGGAGCAAGCCGCTTTAATGATACTCGAAAATTCAAGAACAAGGGGCAAACAGTTCAAAAGTGAGTTTATAGAAATTGAAAAAAAGGAGCAAACCGCTCGAAAGGGACTAAAGACTTTGAGAAGCAGAGAGCAAATCGCTCGAAAGGGACTGGGAAATTTGAGAACAACGAGCAAGCCGCTTGAAAAAGACTAGAGCATTTGAAGCCAGGGAGTTAATCGCTCGATAGGGAATAGACCCATTGACCTCGCGAAACCGACTAGAGAATGAGAATATGGAGCAAACCGCTCGGAAAACCTAGAGAAGCTGAGAACGCGGAACAAACCACTCGAAAGAGACTAGACAATTGCAGAACACGGGGCAATCCGTTCGACAAGGACGAGGGATTTTCAGAAAACGGAGCAAACCGCTCGATAGAAACAAGAGAATATGAGAACAAAGGACAAACTAAGCGAAACAGACTAGAGTTAGAGAACAACGAGCAAACCTCGCGAAAACAGTTGGGGAATTTGAAAACGAGGAGCAAACCAAGCGAAAGAGACTTGAGAATTTGAGCAAAAAGGAGAAAGCCGCTCGAAGCGGACTAGGCAGATTGAAGGCAGCAGCACACAGCCCGAAAGAGACTAGGCAGATTGAAGGCAGCAGCACACAGCCCGAAAGAGATTACACAGTTTAAAAGCAAGGCTTAAAAACAAGGAGCAGACCGCTCCAAAGGCATTGGGGAATTTCAACACACAGGAACAAACCGCTCCAAAAGCTAGATAATTTGAGAACAAGCAGGAAGCCGCTCCAAAAGGAACTGAAAAAAGTACCAAACCGTGCGAAAGAGACGAATATATGAACAAGGAACAAACGGCTCGAAAGGAACGAGACATTTCGAGAGAACAATGAGCAAACCGCTCAAGCAGGACCAGAGAAGTTTGACAGAAGGAGAAAAACCGCTGAAAAGAGAAGAAGAGAAATTGAGACAAAGGAACGCGCCGCTCGAACGACATTGAAAGAGACAGACGTATTTGAGAAAAGAGACTAGGGATTTTGAGAAACAAGGAGCAAACCGCTCGAAAGAGACTAAAGACGTTGAGAACAAGGAGCAAAATGCTCGAAAGAGACTAGAGAGTTTCAGTGCCAGGAGCAAACCGCTCGACCAAGACTAGGGCATTTGAAAACAGGGAGCAAACTGCTCGAAAGAGAGTAGAGTATTTGAGGAGCAAACCGTTCGAAAGAGATTCGAGAATTTGAGAACAAGGTGCGTGCCGCTCGAAAAGGATTTGAAAAACTTGACAAAACACCAGGAGCGAACCGCTCCAATGACGACTACCACTACTACTACTCCTACTACTACTACTACTACTACTACTACTACTACTACTACTAGTAGTACTAGTACTAGTACTAGTACTAGTACTAGTACTAGTACTAGTACTAGTACTAGTACTAGTACTAGTACTACTACTACTACTACTACTGCTACTGCTACTGCTACTGCTACTGCTACTGCTACTGCTACTGCTACTGCTATTGCTACTGCTACTGCTACTGCTACTGCTACTGCTACTGCTACTGCTACTGCTACTGCTACTGCTACTGCTACTACTACTACTACTGCTACTACTCCTGCTCCTACTACTACTGCTGCTACTACTACTACCACTGCTGCTACTACTACGACTACTGCTGCTACCACTACTACTACTACTACTACTACTACTACTACTACTACTACTACTACTACTTCTGTTACATCTGCTACTACTCCGACGACGACAACAGCAACTACTACTTGTGACTACTACTACTACTACTGCTACTACTGCTACTGCTACTGCTACTACTACTACTACTACTACTACTACTACTACTACTACTACTAGTACTACTACTACTATAACTACTACTATAACTACTACTATAACTACTACTATAACTACTACTACTACTACTACTACTACTACTACTACTACTACTAATATTACTATTGTTGCTATTTTGTATTACGAGAGGAGGAAGGAAGAACGGGCTTTTCGCAGAAGTACAATCGAAGCACATGGGTAATATTTTCCGGAAATGACAGCCACGACCAGCAATAATCATCCTCGTATTTCGCTGCTGGTCTACGAGCTGAAAACCTTCAACCCGTAGCCCTTGACCGCTGAAATCCGCTGAGAGATCTTGAGGCTGCAGCTTTTGGCGCCATTCGGGTCCTGGGGTTCTGTCCAAGTGGTGATGAGGGACTTAAGCGTTTAGCCTTTTGGGCAAAAAGATTTAGGGTTGACAGACTGCAAGTAAGGGCAGGCCGTACTTGGAAAGATGCGACTTCACCCAGCTGCCCGTAAGTAAGCCTAGGCTGGCCAACTCGCTCTTTGCCACTTTGTTCTTACCTGTGACTGGCCGCCTAGCAGGTGCTGCTGCTGCCAGGAGAGCTGGTGGTGGTGAGCGCAGGCTGGTGGGTGCGCGGCCCAGGAAGGGATCTTGCAGCCGTAAAGCAGCAGTATTGCTCTGCAACGTGGCGCTTCGTCATCTTCTTGCTGCGATACTTCGCCTTATGCGAGCCCCTGTGGCCTTTCTAGCCGAGCATGTTTAGTTGACGAGGGATGTGTTAAGGATCATACATTTTTTGGCTCCTTGCCTGTGTGGGCCGTGATGCTTGAGGTACAGTGCTATTGCGATGAGGCAGGAAAGATTGCCTGCTTATGCCTGCTTCCACTCGAGGTTTTTGAAACTTGGCGGGGATACGGTTTTGGTTGCCCACAGCTTCAAGCCTGACAGTTCTCCGTCTTATGATGGCGAGAATAAGCAGACCATCGCCGTCTTCCTATCCGTCTCTGTCGTGTCGTCTGCAAGCTAGAACATTTTGGAGTTGCAATTCTTGCTTGCTTTGGTGCTTATGTCACCGCAGCCTCTGTTCCACCCAGGCAAATGGTCAAGTCAGCCCAACCCGTAATACCAAGACCCGAGGTCCTTCAAATCCACTTCCCCACACCGGACTCTGACAGGCCTCCTGGGCAGTGCACTCCCAGTACGCGGAGGGTCAAGGCCCTGTGCTTTCGCTCGAGCTTGCAAGATTTAAGGTTTGAAAGATCATGATCTTGGGGGTCGGTTCAGCAGAGGTTTGGGGACAATACGCGCTTGTCTGTTGAGCTCCTTGGTTGGATCACGGGGCAAAGAAGCGAATGGCAGGGGAGAGTGCGCCCCGCATAGCAAGGCGCCGAAATGCAGAACCCTTCATTTGGCGAGGCAAAACAGACCTCAGGTCTGAAAGCCTTTCTGCGCCTGAACTCTTTGCCATTTGCTTATCTGCCCTCCGGTAAAACGCACGAGCGATGGCGTGACCAGGTTAAGCTGTGCCGAGCGTTTTGCCTCAAAGGCTGGATTCGACTCAAGTCTCAGTTTGTTCATGCTGGCGGCGCGGCATGCGGGCGGGAGGTGAGGACAGACCAGACAGTCGGCAAGCGCTTTTCGACAGAGCACGGCAGACCACACCTGGCGGAAATTTTATTTGTTTCCAAACCGTATGGAGTTTGCCGTGAAATCCCAAGCTTTGGAGTTGCCAAAGAGGCCTGGGGCGGCTTCTGGACTCGATGCTGAGCTTCGCCGGAACACTCAAGGAGGACAGGACCAAAGCAAGCCAAAAGGCTTGAGGGAGTGCAGGAAGTTTGAAGTTTTCGTTCTTTTTTGGTTCTAGGCCTCAGGGTTTCCAGGTTTTGTTTCAGGATTTGGGGGTTGCCTGCACGGCACGCGCTCATCTGCGCTGCGCTCCGGTCGGCAGCCCGATGACTTCCCTCTCATCTTCACCGAAACCGCGAAGCCTCTAAGAAATGTTCCTGTCTGGGCGCGAAGGAGATCTTCGGCTACGATGCCCTGCCTGCGGCAGAGCAGGCCGATGCCTGCACCGGGTCTCGCCTTGAGATGTTGCACCTGAGAGTTCTCTGATGTTCCCTGTCCCGCTATTCAACTCGGATGTATAAAATGCCCTTCGCGCCTGTTCAGATGCTATACCGATCCTGACAGCCTTACGGAAATGCGGAACACTGACGGGCCACCCCTTCTTGAACGTCGCCGAGCACTTCCGTCACGCCCCGCCTTGGTACCGGAACCTGGAAGAGTTGGACACGGCAGGACCGCAGCGTATGGAATCTTGCCGCGACGATTCTTGACACTGATGTGAACCGGATCCCAATTTGCATGCTCAAGGACCTGCACCCCCCTAGCTCCTGCAACTCCATGTCAGCGCGAAATGGCAGAGCGCGGCACGGCAAAATGCAACGACTAACTTCTTAATCTTTTCCTCGTCGTTTGCCATTCCAGTCATTCAAGTCACCTTTCGCAACCCGGCAACAGGTTGATGCTGCGCTGGCCGCCGTACTCGAGAAAAGCGGCCGCGGGCCGGGCCGGGCATTGCCGGGGCCCTGGGTCCGTAACCGGGCTTTCGCAGGTTTCAGCTTGGAACGTCGTGGTTGACGAACAGTTTTAGGCTCCTCCCATGCAGGATGGCGCAGTCTCTGAAGGTCTTCCCAGCAGTTGGTGTCACGACATTGCTTAGGAGGCATTGATGGCATCGGAGGGTTTCTGGACCGCGAGGAGGGCTTGGAGATCGCAAGCCTGAAATGCTATGGTGCCCAGGCTGGCACGACTCAGGAGCCTGGATGCAAAGCAGAACGTCTGCCCCCCAGCATTTCGCAGGGTAACTCTTTCGACGCCCCCGCTCCGCTCTGCTCCCGCCGCCGTGCAAAACGCAGTTGAGCCCTGTATCCGTCCTGTACCTCAAGTGCAGCTAGAGCAGCGCTGTAGCTAGAGAGCTAGAAGAAGAGCATCTACTCGTAGAGCTGCCGGATCGCAGCGCTGTATCGACCACGTTTTCGTGCACTGCCACAGCCGCAAAGACAATGCTGAGGCCGTGCAGGCTCCAGCTGCGACTTCTGGGAGTTGTGGCGTGTGCGGCCGTCCAGCCACTACAAGGTGCGATTCTGGGATACTCTGGGATCCCTGCGCGACTAGATCACCTGAAGCACACGCGAGTGTCGGATCATGTGTCACCACCTGCGCCTCAACAAAGTGCAATGCACGTGATCCCATTACGAGCTTAATCCAACTTCTGTAAAGTTTAGCCTCGAAAGACTACTTGAAAGGCCTCGCGTCGGCGCGCAGCTGGCGCAAACTGGTAGGTATTGCTTAGGTCATGCCGTCGTCAACCACAGCAGCTGCAATTCTGAAGTGACCTCGGCCATAAAGCCAAAACCCTCAACCGAGTCTGCTAGCCGCAGAGTTCCGAACTCCAAACTTAAATTCGATCATCAGGTTGTGGTGGTGATGATGGTTCTTCGGATATGCCAGTGACGAAAATGTAGGGCCATCGAGGGGAGAGGAGCTCATGAAAAGTTCTACGAGTACTTATGCAAGCGTCTCGTCTTCTCTGCTCCCCCGGGTGTCACAGGTGCGGCCGATGTCGCAAGCCCCGGCACGCTTTTAGTGTTCATCACCGTGGCGCAATCGACAAGGGATTGCTACAGTTGAAGGCTTCAGGTCGAGGATTGGCAGGCTCTTTTCTAGACAGGCTGCGCATGTTCGATTGCAGTGCCCTTCTTTTGCACTCCTGTAGAGAGAACAAGCCCCTCAGGCAGTGAGATTTCGGATTCATGAGCAAAGATGCGGGCGTGGCAGCAGTGGTCTGCAGTCTACATTCTCAGGAAACAGTCCGACGCTGCAAACAATCTCTGCCCAGTTTTTGTTTTCACTTTTGCTTTCCTCCTGCCACCACGCTCAAAGGGCATTTAAAACCTAAGCCCTGCAAGCCAGAACATGGGAAGTGTTGAAACTAGTTTCAAATCTCGAGTTTGTAGAACTGCCAGGTGAGCTTCTGCTATGTGGAAGCGAGTGTCCCGCCCCCAGCTCCGGCAGAACCTGACTACCCGTGGCAATCTCAGAAGCGTGAACCGCGGAGGCAGGAGCAGAAAAAACAGCGAAGATAGCGAATGATTGAGAAGAGGATACTTGGAAAATCTCCTCCAAGTGCCTCCAAGTCCTCTCCGACCTGAACCCTGAGCTCCAAACTCGAACCATCAACCCTGAACCCGAAATCACAACTGCCCGGCGGCCTCTGAGCCCTAAGCCATCCCTCGCCCCTGACTCCATGGTCCAAGGTCCAGCCTAAGTCCAAACCGCAGCTCCTATAATTCTTTCTGTATCCGCTGCAACTGATAGATGGCACAGGTGCTAAGAAGTTCTCTTCATGCACGCAGGTCAGAGGCGCTCCTGGCCAGAGCATCGCAAGATCTGCGTGGCTCCGCGGCCCGAAAAAAGCAGCGCCCACTGAACGCCGCCAGGGTTCAAAGCATTTCGTCAACGAGCAAAGCATGTTGCACATGACAGGTTGTATCGGAAGCCAGCAAGTTACACGGGGCAACACATTTGTGTGTTTTCGCTTCATCTATGCAGATATCGAGTTAGAGGTATCGAGTAAGTAGAACTCTGAACATCTTTGCAAAGCTTCCTTATTTCCGTTTGTGGTGTGTCTGGATGAACCGGTGTTGGCGAAGGAGGTCTCAATGTTGAAACGACACTGTCCATGTTGGGACGCTCTAATGCCTTGCAGGCCATGACTCAAACAGCACGACGGAAGGCAAATCAGCTGGAGGCTGGACCTAATCTTCATTATAATGTATAATTTATAACTGTATGAAGCAGGTTTTTGTCCTCGTATCTCCAATGGCAAACTCTGTCTATCTATCTACCTATCTATCTATCTATCTATCTATGTATCTATGTATCTGTGCATGTGTGTGTGTATGTATGTATGTATGTATGTAGGTAGGTAATTATGTATGTACGTATGTAAGAATGTATGTATGTATGTATGTATGTACGTACGTATGTAGACAGACAGGCAGGCGGACGGACGGACACACAGACAGAGACAGACAGCGACAGACAGAGACAGACGGAGACGGACAGAGACAGACGGAGACGGACAGAGACAGAGAGACAGACGGAGACGGACAGAGACAGAGACGGACGGGCAGAGACGGACAGAGCCGGACGGACGCACAGAGACACACAGAGACAGACAGAGACAGACAGACACAGACAGAGAAAGACAGAGACAGACAGAGACAGATAGAGACAGACAGACAGGTAGGTAGATAGATGGAGCTCCAAGGCCTCTAAACTGTTGGGGTAGGGGTCCAAGCTCTTATGTCCAGGCTGATCACATGAAGAGTGGCACGAGCCTTCATCGTTGCTCGTCGTAGTATATACAGGGTTCGTCTATGTCAAGTATCGACAGGCGGACTTCTACATTGAAGTATTGCCCATATAGCTCAAGTCTCATTCTCGCCAGTTGCGATCTCGACACCCTTGTCGAGCAGTTTCATTTCAGCAAGGCCGTACTGGCCTTTAAGATAGTGCTGTACTGACTGAAGCTCTTCCGCTATGAAGACCTGGACCTAAACCCTAAACACCACGCTTCCGCTGTCCAGGGTTACAAAGTTGGGCTTCAGGTCTCCCTCAGCCCGATTGGGTGACTGACACGCCTCCTCTGACTTCGGAGACCTATCCTGAGTTGTGTTGCTCGTCCGAAGCTTCCAAGCCGATGCTTCAACAGCTCGATGGCTACGCCTTCGTGCTGGTTGGAAGACCTCAATCCCAGATCCTAAACCCAACAGGCACCACAGCATGAAAGCCCAAACCACTGGAGCAAGGGTCCTGCAACCAAACGCAGGGACGCCTGGCCTTGGTCTGGCACTCAGCAGCAAGCCAACCATTGGTGCAAGGCTTTCTACTGGCATTTTCAACGGTGTTGCAAGCGCAGCCACAGTACGGGTTCGGGATTAGGGCGAGTACGGTTTACACTGTAGAGTTTTGGATCAAGACGGCCCAGAACAGGTCAATCAGAACAGGTCAAGAGCGATCATGCTGCAAAAGCGCTTCTTGCTTCTTCCTGCCAGCCCCGCCTCCTCTGCCGTCATTGGGATTTCACTATTGTACGTCGGGTTCGATTTTGAGGGTGCTTGTTGGAATAGACCACTCCTGAAATGGTTATATATATATATATAATTGATTAGTCGATACTGTAAACGGAACTCTTGATTGAAATTGCCCAAATCTGACTCAGGTCCAGGGCGAGCGAGACCGTCTCCAGGCACAGCGACAACCAGCAAACCCATTGAGTTTGAGTTCCACTGCAAAGCTTCGGGGGCGCCGAAGGTCGCAGGTCTTTGGAGATCCTTTGTTGGGCGCAACCACACATCGAAACATGGTCTAAACTCCCGAGTTTTAGTGTCGAGGTGCAAGATCGAACCCCAGATTCTGAGCATCGAGCCGTTAACAACACCGACCTAGACTCCTGAAGCGCTCGATATTGCCCCACTTCTAGACTTCTGGGAATCGTGTCGGGGCGTTCGAGAAACCTCAACTCCGTGAGCATCTGGCAGGCTACTGCCGGGCTCCAAGAGGGAGCCGGCATCCGGCATGCTGTGCACTGTTCACCTGCTTGTCACGGTGTGTTTCTTACACTTTCTTTTGGCTTCCAGCCTTGTCGTAAGTACATTCTGTTGTTCTCGCCATACTATTGCTCGTATTGTTATCTTGCATGATTGTAAGTGGCTTGCTGGCATCTGTGCTAGCCACCGAGAGCTGTCTTCGTTCGTTCTTGGATGCTCCAGCCGCTTATGGCAGCCAACAGACTAGTGGCATGGACGTTATCATACATTATCGTGGTTTAGGCATGGGTGCGTTAGCCGTTGGATGCACCGGTCTGCGTATGGCTGTGGGTTGTGGGATCTTAGATTGGGGTTTCTGGTTTGAGGCCTAGGATTTTAGCAGCACTAATTAGTATGTCGACTTCGATTGTTCGTTTGTTTGTTCCTAAAAACCAAGCCAAGGAGTCCTGAGCGATGACCCCAAAACCGACCTAAGCAGTGTGAACTCAGGTGGACACCCTGCGCCAGCGAGTGCACGACTCCGACGAGGCCAACTTCTGGGATGCTGTGTGGGAACTTGCAGAGGAGTGGGTTTAGGATGTACAGGACTGTAGTCACTGTGTCTGGAGCTAGAAGTTCTTCGGTCTTCAGGAAGCAGATTTATGTGCTTGAGAGTGGGTGAGAGACAGAGAGAGACAGATAGAGAGAGAGAGAGAGAGAGAGAGAGAGAGAGAACCGGCCCTCAGTAAAGTGTGTGTGTGTGTGTGTGTGTGTTGAAGCTGTTGTTATCATGTCTCCTGACGTGTTGCCACAACGGGGGGCCGACCCCATTGCGAGAGCATGCTCAGTAGAAGCGCCAGTGCAACCCGCCCCCAAGAAGGGGGAGACCAAGATGAGGCGCGAAAGGGTCCCGTAGCTGAGGTTCAAGGGTTCATGGGCTGCGATACGGCGCCTGGGGTAACGGCAGACCACAGAACTCGGTGCGTGCTCGCGCGCAGGGGAGCGCGTGCGTGCTCTCCTTGTCCGCATGCAAGCAAGAGAGACACAGAGAGAGAGAGAGAGAGAGAGAGAGAGGGCTCGCCCGATAGAGAGAGAGAGAGAGTGAACAAGAAGGACAGAGCCTCTGCATAATGAGGCTCTGGCGGAGGCCGTGCGCAACAACGAGGCGCGGCTTGCTCCTTCTGAGTTTGGATGCGTGCAGAGTCCCTGAGTCCCTTGTCCGCCTCGGGCTCCGAGCCGAGCCGCTGAGCCCCACGGCCTCGCGAGGCCCTCCGGCAGCAGATGGAGGTCCAGCGCCTGGATGCGCAGACGGCCAACGAGCACAGGCGCCCAGGAAGTCACAACAAAAGAGAGACACCACACCCTGGCCCTAGCAAAGCATGGCAACGCATCGCGGTGAGCTGATCTTGTGCGCCTCGTCCTTCATCGCAAACTTTTTGTTGCCCTTGCAGTTCACTCGAGTTTTCGGCTTTTGGTGACGCTTCCTGAGGCAAGATCTGAAGCTGTGCCGGGAGATGTTCCAACAGCGCATGGACTCGCAGGTCGGAAGAGCTGCATAGCTACTGTTTTCTTAACAAGCGGCGATCGGCCCAAGCCGTGGGGTCCCGTGGCACCGTGGTTTTCGTTTCTGCAACATGTCCAAGCCACAGCCATAAGCCACAGCCGTTTGGAACTCCACAGTTTAGGGTTTAGGGTTTCCAGCCCAAAACGGCAGCCCAAATCCCAGACCCCAAAGGCCCTGCTAAATTGCTAAACCCTGGCGGATCCGTGAAATCTGAGGCCGGGCACCACCAGGCCGAGGAGGCCGACGGCCCAGGATTTGGCGGTTTCAGATTTTAGAGTTCGGAGCTTCGGGGTGCAGGATTTTAGGGTCTTTCGGCTTAAGTGGTAGGTTTGGCTTCAGTGGCCAGGCTTTGGGATCCAATAGTCACTGTGTGTCACTGTGGGAGCCTCAGCCATTGCAGTATTCGATGCTGTACGGCTCGTACACATGATGTCTATGGGGTTTCTTAAATGCAGTCGCCGCTGTGTTCCAAAGAGGATGCTGTACTGTGCAACTTGTTCTCTCCGGTCTAAACCCCAAGATCCTGCAGCATTTCAGACTTGTCTGATGTGTGCCAAAAAATATCGGCTTTGCGTCACTTCCTCTGAATTCCCGAAAAACGAAGTTGAGAACCCTTGAGCCCCGCATCCTGAACTCCAGGCGCGGCCTTTAAACCTTCAGGTTCTCGTTCGGTGGATTCGCTTACAGGGTTTCTAGCTCCGGCATCTGTGACTTCATGGGTGCAGGGTTCAGAAAAGCGGGCTGAAGGCTGGGTCCGGAAGCACTTCTAGGAGGAATCCCTGGTTGGAGAACCCTGTCTTTGAACAGCCCCGAGGTGGATCTTCGAAGTCGAATACGCGGACTCGAGGAGCAGCCCGCTCTCAGAAGTCCGTCGCGCCAAATTACCAGAAGCCGAAGTCCTGAGAAGCCTTGACCCGAGAGCCCCACCAAACCGACCTCAGAGCCACGGTCTCTGAGCCGCCTGCCACCATTTTAAAGTGCAACGCTTTCTACAGTCTTTTGGCCACGCAGACCCAGTGCTTAAATGCTGAGTTCTGAAGTCGCTGTTCTCGCCCTCGTCGTACTCGGGGTGCTAATCGAGTCGTCGGCCTCCCGCATCTCGTCCCACAACCTCATCGCGAGGAGAAGTTGCCGTCATGTTAGAAGGGGAGGCATGTGACAAGAGCTAGTTGTTCTTTTCGCTGGGGAAGGATGTCGTTGGACTCAAAGCTGGCAAGATCCAGGCGCGTCAACAAACTATGCACAATAAAGCCCGAAAGTTTGAATCACCACACCCTAAGCCATGTATTCGACATGAAATTGTGGAGTTGGAAAAATTGATAAGGCGCACTCAGTCTTTTTTAGTTCGAAATGAGTAGGAGTGAGTAGTAGGAACATGTAGTAAGCTGTGTATTTGCAGCAAGGCTTTCTTCTAGCAGAGGAGTGGGGCCCAGTAGGGCTTCCACTCCGGCTATGAACCCTTGCTGCTCCAATAATCTAGAACTTACCGTAGAAGACGTAGCAGGATCGGTTGTGCAATGTTGTGCATGTAACTGCACTGCTCCTAAACCCAAAAACCCTAGCCCCTGAAAGCTCAACCCTTCACATCCCTTAAGGTCGAATCCCGCAACCGGACGACTGTCGTGTCCACGTAAGCTTCATGGGGCATTGCAGTTTTGGCTTCCTCGCCCGGCCTCACATCTTGAAGTTCGCTGCAGAAGTTTGTCAGTCGTCGACATTCGGGTCATGACGGCGTTAGACAAAGGACCCTTGCAGACCAAAACACGATCTGCTCTGATCCGAATCTCGGACTTGCTCTGCTGCAAAAGAAGCACATCCAGAACCTATGCTGATAAGTGAAATCGAAACCCGAATGCCGGAATCCCCACCTTTCTGCAAGCATCGCAGGTGCTTCGAGAGGCTGTGGCCGAAAAGACAAAGGAGCGACCTGCTACAAAGAACTTGACTTCTCAAGTTGGGGATTCAGCAGCCTTTTCTGGGAGTGTGTTCTCAAAGCCTAAAGATCTTAGTGGTTCGTGTGTTGCGCATGGCCTGAGTGTCGGGTTAGAGTTTCTTCAATCTTGCATAGAACTAGAAGACAGGATTTAAAGTGTAGCAGCGTCAACATGTTTTCTAGCGCTGTAGAATTACTCATCAGGTCAATAGTGCAACCGGAAATGACGTTTCTACTTTATTCTCTTGTTGTCGACAATTCAAGAGTTTGTCATTGCAGCCTTGTTGCTAGCGGTTTGGTAGGGTTGCTCTACTCTAGACGCTATTTATCGGCATAAATCATTTAAGGCATGTTTGAATATCTGCATATTGAAGCTTTTTGCCTGTCTACATCTGTAACTATATCCCGATCTTTCTATCGATCTACCTATCTACCTATATGTCTTTCTATCCATCTGTCTATCTATCTGTCCATCTCTCTCCACATGATCATTCATATATGCAGCAAGAGCTGTCTGGCAGGTGCGGGAGTCACTGCTGCGGGACGTGAGCATGTGGAAGGCGATTATGACTATCGGGAGTTTCCTGGGTTTTGCATGTGGGACCTATCGGTTGAAAGGCTGCTAGTTCAGTGTTCAGGGTTTCAGAGTTCGGGTAATTCCCAACAGTACGTGCAAATAAGCAAGCAATTAGTGGAAGTGGTCGTCGTCGTAGTAGTCGTACTGCTACTACTGCTACTACTACTGCTGCTGCTGCTGCTCCTACTACTACTGCTACTGCTCTACTACACTACTACTACTACTACTACTACTACTACTACTACTACTACTACTACTACTACTACTCCTACTCCTACTCCTACTCCTACTCCTACTCCAACTGCTACTGCTACTGCTACTGCTACTGCTACTGCTACTGCTACTGCTACTGCTACTGCTACTGCTACTGCTACTGCTGCTACTGCTGCTACTACTGCTACTATTGCTGCTGCTACTGGTACTGGTACTGGTACTGCTACTGCTACTGCTACTGCTACTGCTACTGCTGCTGCTACTGCTACTGCTGCTACTATTGCTGCTGCTACTGGTACTGGTACTGGTACTGGTACTGGTACTGGTACTGCTACTCCTACTCCTACTCCTACTCCTACTCCTACTCCTACTCCTACTCCTCCTACTCCTCCTGCTACTGCTACTGCTACTGCTACTGCTACTGCTACTGCTACTGCTACTGCTACTGCTACTATTGCTGCTGCTACTGGTACTGGTACTGGTACTGGTACTGGTACTGGTACTGGTACTGGTACTCCTACTCCTACTCCTACTCCTACTCCTACTCCTACTCCTACTCCTACTCCTACTCCTACGCCTACGCCTACGCCTACGCCTACGCCTACGCCTACGCCTACGCCTACGCCTACGCCTACGCCTACGCCTACGCCTACTGCTACTGCTACTGCTACTGCTACTGCTACTGCTACGCTACTGCTACTGCTACTGCTACTGCTACTGCTACTGCTACTGCTACTGCTACTGCTACTGCTACTGCTCCTGCTCCTGCTCCTGCTCCTGCTCCTGCTCCTGCTCCTGCTCCTGCTGCTGCTGCTGCTACTGCTACTGCTACTGCTACTGCTACTGCTACTGCTACTGCTGCTGCTACTACCACCACCACCACCACCGCCACCACCACCAGCTACCTAGTACCTACTACCTACTGCCTACTACCTACTACCTAAGGCGGCAGACGTGGCGACCCATGCAACGCGCATGCGTGCCCATGCATATAAGCTCACAGAATCTTGCCAAGACAGTGATGCATGTCTCCCACACTTGTTTTTGCATCGATTGCTGATTGGAAATCATTTAAGAGACATTGGATCAACTGGCAGATTCAGAACGTGGCAGGTGCACACCTCCTTAAGTACCTGACGCAAGATTGAGAGAGCAGGGCAGTGGTCCACGTGAGTTTCTAGGTAGGTTGGCAGAGATTCATATCGGCACGAATCTGCACCAGTGCATGTGCAGTTGCACGCGTGCCGAAGCCTGAGCCTACAATCGCGCAGCTCGGCTGTGACTCATGGTTGCATGCACTGGTCGCAGGCGCAACACGAGCTGGCAGCCAAGATGCGAGTCGTGTTCCAAGTCAGTGGAGTTCGTGCAAACTGAAGCCGAGGCGTCCTTCACGGAACGCGCATCCGAAGCATCCTTGCTGCTGCTCAGTCCTGAGTTCATCTTCTGATCCTGAGGCGGACGTGGAGAATGATTTCGAAGCCTTCAAGGAGGCCGGGGTTGCTGTTCTTGATTGTCGTTGAACTGTTGACACGATGGCTGCCTTAGTTGTGTTTCTCTGATACTGCCGCTGCTCGTGTTCTGCTCTTGACATTTTGGGGGGTATGCTACTACAGCTGCGGCAGCAGGAGCTAGTTGTGCAGATAGATGCTGCTACAACTGCGACTACAACGATGACTGCCGCTCTTCGTCATAGTAGCAAGTTTTTTCGTCATCATCGTCATCGTCGTCGTTACCATTGCCATCATTGCCGTCATCTTCTCGACCGTCCGTCCCTTCATGCGTTGTTGTCACCAATCCCGTCAATATTCCACCTCAGAGAGCGACGTAGAGTCTTAAACCAAACAGCCTGCATCCTCTTGGCCTGCAGGAGTGCCTCGGCCGAAAGCTGCGCGAAAAGCAGGAAGAGCAGCTCGGCTGCGGGTTTGCGGTTCAGGAGCGTGTAGGACTTAGTGCTTAGTGTCTCACCTTCCTGCTTGGCCCCTCTGCTCTGCAACATGCAATGGCCTATGAGCTTAGCCAGATCCCAAAGCCCCAAACGCCCTCGTCACATCGCCTTGATTGAAGTCTTCTTTTGCCATGTCAGCCATGCTTTGCCAGTCCGATGAGCCCTTGCCAAG